CATGGGTGACAGACAGCAGAGAACAGGTGGCACTGAGGCCAATCTAACTGGCCTGCGGGTGAAGGTGCTGGGGGGGAGAGCAGACGCCCGAGCCCTCTGACAAGGGTCACTCCAGAGCCCTGGGCCCTGCTGACCAGAGGACGGCCCACATGCGGCAGCATGGCCACGAGTGACTATCAGTTCCCAGCAGTAGCCAGGCTAGAGGGAACCCCACCATCACTTGGCTTTGGAATTTTATCTTTCGTGTTTATATTTGATGCTCGAGGAATCCAGGCTACTTGAGGCGGAATCATAATACATTCACAGAACTCGCGCACTAGAAAATCACCTCTCCATTAGCCTGGCAGGACGGGTTATCTACCATGGGCTGCAGTTCTAGGCACCAGGACTGCCTGGGGAAACCAAGCAGACACATCCCTGCACTGGGAGAGCTTATGCTCTGGTGACAGAAATGACAACGTCAGTCACACATGCGACACATCAGGTGGTAATCGTGCAGAGAAGTGGGATGGCTCATGGGGCTGTCACTGCACAGACCTTAGGACAGTAGGTGGAGTGGCCACGTGCCCGTCTGGGAACCAGTTCCCCTGGGAGAACCACAGCGCATGCAAAGGCCCTGTGGCCGGAGCACACCCAGGAAACAGAGGGCAAAGGTGTGACCGGAGCAGAGGGTGGGGCCAGCAGTGAAGGAGAGGGAAGGCAGGGCCTTGGAGGGTCTTAATGCAGGGTGGCACGACCTGCCCTGGGAACAGACCAGAAGGCGAGGGTGAGGACAGAGCAGGAAGACCACCCAGAGCCAGTGACATACGCCAGGTGATGAGGGTTCGCACCCAGCCAGCCTGGGGAGACGGGTTGAGTGGACGGAGCTGGTAGGTTTGCTGTCATGAAGGATACACGTATGAGAAAGCATGGAGTGAAGGATAAACCAAGGTGTGTGGCCTGGAAGATGGAGCCACCTGGACTAGTTTCATTTTACATGAAACTGAAGCCCCCGGGGAAGACAAAGTCATGTCCAAGGTCACATCACTTACTCTGGGGATTAGAACTCTTCCCCCATCGCCCCAAGCTGCAGCTCAGGGGAGACCCTGGTGGATCACTTAGGTCACAGGCAGATGCCCTCTGGCTCCTCTGAGCTCTCGGAGGTGCGAGCAGACAGTGCCCCCAGGGACCCAAGCGAGGTATAGTGAGGGGTGGGGGCTGGGAAGAGAGCACAGGCCCTGCTCAGGGAGGCAACTGCAGTCCACGGCTGCCACCAAGAAACAAATCCAGTGGGCCCGGAAATCCCCATTGTCCCCAAGAGAGCTCCAAAATCTAGATTTTTAACAACAGCTTCTCCAATTTTAAAAGGTGGCTCGTGGTTTAGCAGGATGGGGCTGGACAAACCTCATGTGTTGGCCAAGTCCCCTCCATGCGGGTGCGGCCCCAGCCAGGAACCAGTCTCAAGTCAGCCCGAAACACATTTGGTTCACTCACACCTCAGCCAGGGTCAGGGCACAACATTAAAGCCCTGAGACGAAGATGGTCTTTTATTCCAAATTTGAGGCCAGCAGATGATGTTCACAATCACAACAGCTAGCTGATCACTTATAGCATGGCCTCTCCGACCAACACAAAGGCAGCTGCCGGTCACTCTGGGATCTCTGTTAACTGGGTTGATGCTGCTCTGCGTGCAGTACTGACATGAGGCCCCTCGCTCAGAAAAACTCTCTCCAAATACTAACCAATGATCCTTTCAAAGTTACATGGAATATAACAAAGTGTTGCCAATAGCCAGGGCACACCTGATGCCAGCAAGCAGGCAAACACCAGGACACTGGACCAGGCAGGGTTCGGAGACCAGCCGCTATTGCAGCCTTGCTAAAACAATCCAACATAGAAATTACAAAACCTTTATAAATTACAGTTGCTCTGAGTTTGCTGAGCGGGTGGGAGAGATACATCACCCATGGCACTTAAGGGAAACAGGCCATGTGTGTCTGGCCTTTGGCCGTGGGAGTCGGCCTGCAGGTCTCAGGAAACTCACCTGAACTTTTGAGCCTAAGGAAACAGCCTCCAAGGAAGTCCCCAGGTTAATTTTCGGTAATGCCAAATGGCCCTCTTGCCCAGGCTCTCTGCCTTAGAATTAAATATTTACTTTCCCATATGCTTTCTGCCCAGTATCTATTTTCTGTGTCTGTTACACCGGGCCATTCTGATGGTGCTGCTTTTAGGCAGGAATCTCTATAGAGCAGGACCCTGCTTCCTGCTTCTTGCCCTGAACACGCAATTTGTAAGGTGCACCTGAGTCAGTCCAAAAGTACTTTCTAAGGTGACATCTCAGTAGGGGCATGCATGAACTGCCATTAGTCAACTGTTCCTGACCTACAGAATGGGCACTTCACAGGGTTCAATGCAACAGTGTCTCTAAATGATCAGGAAAAGCAGAGGCATCAATATTCAAGAGGGAGAAGGCAATGGCAACCCACTCCAGTACTCCTGCCTGGAAAATCCCACGGATGGAGGAGCCTGGTGGGCTACAGTCCATGGGGTCGTGAAGAGTTGGACACGACTGAGTGACTTCTTTAACTTTTCACTTTCATGCATTGGAGAAGGAAATGGCAACCTACTCCAGTATTCTTGCCTGGAGAATCCCAAGGACAGAGGAGCCTGGTGGGCTGCCATCTATGGGGTCGCACAGAGTCAGACACAACTGACGTGACTTAGCAGCAGCAGCAGCACCAGCAGCAATGTTCAGGGAACACTAGCCATCTCCAGACCAGCGCTGTTCAGGAGAACTCTCTGTGGCAAGGGAACGGACTGAAATCTGCGCTGACCACCACGTGGCACTGGGCACTGAAATGTGGCTTTGTGACTAAGACATGAACTTCTGTTTTATTAAAGTTTCAACACTTCTGTGTGGCTATCCTACTGGACAGTTCTAGACAGGAGCTTTTGCAGACATGAGTGAGGTTCACTCATCTGCAGTGTATGAAGGCCCGGCACACAGGAGATGGTGGAGAAAGATGTGAGATGAAAGCACAATCTTCGCACTCACTGCCATGCTTCACACTGACTCCCCACCTTCCTTCCACTGAAGCTCTTTATTTCCAGATCGAGGTGCTCCCTTGGAGTGTGGAATTACAAAGTCTGTTGGTGAACATTCAGAAGGCTGTGCCCACATCACCCAGCAGCTGGGCAGCAGGAACTAGCCTAATGACTGCCTGACCTGCTGGGCCTCCATATTCTTACCCACTGGATGGACACCCGAGATGGAGATCAAAGTTGTGAATCCGTTTCTAAACGGTTATCCTTAAAAATCAAGTTGGGCTGAGCTTCAGTTGTTCGGTGAGACAGCTGGAAAAAATGTACCAGATTGCTGGTCTGCCTCATTTCATCCACATTTATTCTGTTACGTTCAAAGTTAGTTGCTCAGTCATGTCTGACTCTTTGCAACTCCATGGGCTGTAGACCAGCAGGCTCCTCTGTCCATGGGATTTTCCAAGCAAGAATACTGGACTGGGTTGCCATGCCTTCCCAGCTACTAAGTAAACCAGTATTCCAATCAAATTGTTTGCATTCAACCACTTACATGGAATTTGGTGCTGTATCATCACTATAGCCTATTGACCTAGGGCCCCCTTCAGCAAACAGCATAATTGCTCAAATGTGACTCAATGATTCAGGATTTATTTAAAACTCTCCCATCACCAAAAAATATTCATGCACCAAGATACCAATTTAATCCCTTACTCTCTGTAGAGACGTTCAAAGGCAGACTCCTAACTCTGAAAGAGTTCTGTTACAGCACGTTACCTCCAGCTCTACACACAGGACACGGTTTCTAGTCCCAGAAACACCTTTCTCATTCCCCCCAACCCAATCTCAACTGGCCCAGAAACCTTGCACAGCTCCACCATCTGCCTCCAGCTTTCCTCCTTCACTTAAATAGAGAGGGATGTGGCATGTTTAGGACCTCAGAACTGGAAGCTTCTTCCTGGAAGGAACACAAACTAGCTGGCTGTAGTGGGGCTGACCTCTTGAGCGTTCACAAAGGAGTGAAGCTGTCACCAGAGAGCAGTTCACTGCAGGGTCACCAGGACTTCCCGGTGTCGGGTTAAATGGAAGTCAACCCAGCACAGAGGACAGCATCAGGGGACGCAAGGAGCTCCCCAGCCATGTGGGTCGTGAGTAAAGCACACAGCTGCCCTTCTGGAAAGGCTGGACCAAAGACCTGAGTATCTGGGGACATTCAACAGTCAAAAAGGTCTGATGAGCTCTCCAGCTGTCCCCAGCTCCAGAAAATGCCTGGACAGTTTCAGCACACCAGGCAAAAACTGGGAGGTTCCCAATAGCCTGCAAAGTTTCATTTCCTTGGTGCTTCCTAGGCTGATGACCTCCAACCTCCAGGAGTTATTGCCAAACTGCCTTCCCTTTGCACAAGGTACCCGTATTTCCCAGCACCTACCAGGAGCCTGCCTGACCCCATTGTGAGTGGGTGGTTCTATCTCTAGGCCACAGATAAGGAAATCCGAGTTCAGAGAGGTTGAGAACCCTGAGCAGAGGGTCTGTAGCGTGGCAGGGGGTGGGACCCAGATTCTGGGACGTGGCAAGGCTGCGTCTGCAGCGGGCTGGCTGGAGGCAAACCCAACTCCCTCCTGGCCTCTGAACACCCTAGAAACTCACGCAACAGTAACCTTTCACACCTGTGGCCCACTCCCACGCGTTATGGGTCTCCACGTCTTCTCTCTCCAGCAGCCGCTCTTTCCGACGTGGACCTGCACCCCGGAGTTTAAACAGCCTGGCCGACTCTCCACGATGCGGGCTTGCGGAAGCCAACTCCTTGACCATGATACCACCCAAGCTACCGATTTTTATCTGTCATCTGGGGAGGGCTCCCCGAGGCTTCCCAGATGCTGCACTGGAAAGCGCGGACCCCATCCCGCCCTCCCCAGCCCAGAGCGAGGCTGGGTGGCCCTGGCAGGAGCCAGACCGGGTGCCAGCGCTGGGCGGCCGCGTCGGGGATGCGGCTTCCTCCGGGCCTGGCACTGCCGGCCCATTCATCGTCCCCGGCCAGGCACCCTCGCGCCGGGTCCGCGCGGCCAGCCAGGAAAACGGCGCCCCCGGCCCCGCCGCCAGGGGGAGCAGAGAGTCGCCTGCCGCCCCTCCGGGAAGTTGCCACCGCGGCCCGCCGGGCGTCTGGTACTGGACGGTCCAGGCCCCCGCACGGCAGGCCACCCCCCCCAACTGTGGCCCCGGGCCCGCCCCGCCCCGTCGGCACCGATCGGTCCCGCAGAGCCGGGGCCGCAGCCCGAAGTGGGCGCTCTCAGCCCCGGCCCCCATTCAATCCCGCCCCCTCTCCCCGCCGGCCTCCGCCGCCTTCCGCCCCCCCCCCCCACCCCAGCCCGGACTCCAGCCCGGCAACGTCATCCGGCCGCTTCCCGAAGCTTAACCCCTTCCTCCGCCAGCTGCGCGCCGCCCCGCCCCGCCGCCAACTTTCTTCGCCCAACTTCGCAGCGCGCGGGCCGGCCCGACGGCCAGGCGGAGACGGAGGGAGGGAGGGAGGGAGCGGCGGCCACGTCGCGCCGCGGAGCCGCGGCCGGTCCCGCCGACGGCGAGGACGTGGGGTCCACACCGCGGGCGCGCTCGGTCGACGCCCCCCGGCATGGGGCTCGGGTCCGGCACACGCCTCCCCCCCACCCCGGGGCCCACCGGGACCCCCCCTCCCCGCCAAGGTCCGCGACCGCGGCGACGGCGGGCGGCACTGCCGCCGGGGGAGGGGCCGCCAAGGAGACGTGTCACTCCCGGCGCGGCCCGGCCCGGCCCGGCCCGGCCCCGGCGCCCCGACGGCCCGCCCGCGCGCCGCCGCTGCAGGGCCCGGCCAAGTTTCTTACCTGCAGCCGGAGACGCGGGAGGAAGAGCGAGAGGGCAGGAGCCGCAGCCGCCGCCGCCGCGGAACCGGGAGAGAGAGGAGCCGGCCAAGCCTCCGCCAAGAAGCCGCCCCCCAAGCAGCTGCAGGCGCCTCGATCCCGACGCTGCCCGCCCCGTCCGCCGTCCGCTCTGGCCGCTCGCTGGCTGCGTGCGCGCGTGTGGAGTCGTGGCACTTTCTGCCTCGGAGCTGGCGAACGGCCCCCTCCGCAGGGATCACCGCCTCCTGCCTTCCCCACCCGGGCCAGCCATTCATCGAGCCGCCTTTCCCCATTGGCTCGCACCCCGCCACTCCGCTGGCCGCTGGCCAGTCAGAGCGCCGGCGGCCGAGCCGCGGCGGCGCCCATTGGGCGGGGAGGCGGGCCTCCGCCTCGGCCAATGGGAGAGGGGAGGAGCTGCGGGGCGCCGCGGGGGCGGGGCCGGGGCGAGGGGCGGGGCCGCGCGGTGCGGCGCTCGGCCCCTACGCGGGGGCGGAGCGGGGAGGGGCGGGGCGAGGCCGGTACGCTCGGCCACACGCAAGGGAGGGGGCGCCGGCCGGCCCCGCCCACTCCGGGCTCCTGCCCTGCGCGCGGGCGCCGACCCGGGCCAGGCTCTGGGCCGGCGGGGCCGCGGAGGTTCGAATCCAGGAGGTGCTCCGCCCGTGCCCCTGGCCTGCTCGGGGCTGATGTGGCGGTGGGTGTCGCCCTGAGCAGATGGTTGCGCAACACGGGAACCGTAGGGAGAAATGCTTCGTCTAAAAACCAGCTAACTTCCCCCCGCAGCAGCGCCCCCTCCGGGCGCTGGATGCGAGGACAAGTCCTGCCGGCTGTCAGTCCCGAGAGGGCTCGTCCCTGTGTTCATTGCAATCGGCCCCAGAAAGAATTTTCTCCAGTAAATGGGCGGAAAGGGCGGAAAGTCCAGACGACGCGCAGAGGAATGGAGGACGGGCCTCACTTGCACCCATTTTCAGGGCGGTTACATCGAGGCACAGTCCAGACCTCAGCTGGCAGCAGGGCCGCAATTACAGTTCTCTTTATGACTGCAAGGAGATCCAACCAGTCCATCATAAAGGAAATCAGTCCTGAATATTCATTGGAAGGACTGATGCGGAAGCTGAAACTCCAATCCTTTGGCCATCTGATGTGAAGAACTGACTCATTAGAGAAGACCCTGATGCTGGGAAAGATTGAAGGCAGGAGAAGGAGACGACGGAAGATGAGATGGTTGGATGGCATCACCGACTCGATGGACTTGAGTTTGAGCAAACCCCAGGAGTTGGTGCTGGACAGGGAAGCCTGGCGTGCTGCAGTCCATGGGGTCGCAAAGAGTTGGACACAACTGAGCGACTGAACTGAACTTATGGCGTTTATGCCGCTCTGTGGGGAGGAGAGAGGTCAGAGCCAAGTAAACTCGCCCACTTCCCAGAAAACTGAGCAAACGGGGCTTCCTTTTGTGACTTCCTCCCTGACCCCCAGCCCAGCCCAACCCCCACCCCACTCCCAGCCCCATATAAGCCAACACTCTCTCTTCATACCAAATAAATCTTTCAATTAAGATAATTTTAGGCCTGGTGTTTAACCATGATATCAGTGCCGCTTAAACTCTTTAAACATGAACCAAAGCCAATTTCTTTGAAATTAAGATTTCTGAGAGGCCAAGGGGTCTGCTACAGGCTGTTCTGCCCCACACCACCACCCCCCACGGCCCCCACCCCACCCCCCGCCCCCGCGTGGCTGCCACATCCTCTTCACAATATCTGTTTCTTGGACAATTTCACATACTCTCTCCCCCTTTGTCACTGGTACTGTACACGTTGTTAGAAAGATGTGCAAAGATAAGCCATCAGAAAATAAAGAGGAATTGGATTGAAGTTAAACCGTTCATTCCTATTTTTAATCTCGGCAGTTCCCTAGCACATTAATGATTAATCAAGGGGAATTAACATGGATTAGCTTTGGACAGTCAGTCTTTTTTCCAGTGGTGAACTCCAGCTCCACACAAAAGTCAAAAATTCCAGTTTCCTGCTGTTGTATGTTGCGAGCTAGTTCTAGTTGACCATGGGTAAACCAGTTAAGCTCTCTGAACATGGGTGTATCTTGTAAGACAATCACTACCCCCTCTGGGTTTTAGAGGTTCATTCTTCCATTCTTCTGTTCATTCATTCATTCATTGGTGTTTGTTGAGTGCCTGGAATTCATTACCAAGCTGGCAAACAGCCAGGAGTGATACACAGACCCAGTAAAGACCCTATTGCCCTGGGAAGCATTGCTGTGGGCAGAGACCTCCTTCTTAAGACTCATTCATACTGTTCAGATTTTCCCAGAGGCAGATCCTGACTGGGAGGGTTTGGATGCAAGGGACTCACCTGGGGGATGATCCCAGGAAACACTAGTAGGGACAATGGGTTGGGAAGGGCTGATGAAGAGTGCAATGTCAAGCAAGTGACCTCTGCAGCAACCAGGGCTCAGCTGGGCACATGGATGCCATGTGGAACTTACCCAGGGATGTCCCACCTACAGGGTGGGACTCCCACCAGTCCTTGTGGGTGGAGGCCTTCTTCTGGAGGGACTTTAACTCACCCAGAGTTAAAGCCAGAGACAACCTTTAAGCAGAGAGAAGAGGCTGTTTGCAGCAAGAAGCCCTTGGCAGAGTCTGATTGCCTGGGGTATCTGGGGTCCAGACGAGCATCTTATACTAGCTGTGACCGCAAGGCTGACACAGTGCATGCACAGAGTGGGGGCTCTGTAACTGCATGTTCCATAAATGTTGTTAAATGAACCATAAGGTTACAAAGTCCCTGCAAGTGAAGGTTGTTTGCAAATAAACGAGCTTTCTGTCTGCTCCCTCCGTGATTGACATCTGGCTTGGCCCCAGTGCAACATATGGTTCAGCATGGACGAGTGGCGCGGCCTTTGCCTTCTCCTTTCTTCAGTCCCTGCCCCTTGTCCAACCTCCATAGGGAGGTCAACCCCAACCCCCATTGCACCCCTGGTCCAGCTTGACCCCTTATGGCTGCTGCTGTGCCCATGGACCTAGCCTCAACCTGGTCCTGCCTCCTCAGTACATCTCAGCCTAGTGCTCTCCCCAGGAGTGTCTGCGGAAAAACAGGAACTGAGCCAGGACAAGGGTGCTAGTGAGGGAGTCAGGGGCTTCCCCAGGCTCAGAACCCCTGGCCCTGCAACAAACCCAGAACTATCAAGTCACGGGGGAGGAGACAGTTCCAGTCGCACAGCACAGCCTTCGGGGCCTGTCTGCTCAGGGCCAGCACCAGGCCAGAGCCCAGGAATCAGGTCCCTGCCACCCCCTAGGATGACAGTCCAGTGAGGGGCTGTCACATGCAAGCAAGTCAGAGAGATGTCAAGGTGCACTCAGACAGAGGAGAGCAGGGGGTGACAGTGGTAGCTTGAAAGAGAATGGAAAGCCAGCCCGGCCGGAAGGTGGGGAAACAGGACAGAGGCCTGTGATCTAACATGGCATAGTGCACGAGGGGCCCCGCTGAGCTGTGGTGTTTTGCCAAAGCCTGAAGGGTGAAGGAGAAGGCCAAAAGAGATGCGTCTCAAAAGGGGAGCATCACAGGCCCGAGGGACCCACTTAGAGGTAATTTGAACATGCCACACCTTGGTGATAGTGACAGTTATGTCATCAAATTATGAGCTCCTGAAGAGGGTGAATTTGGTTTGTAAGCAAGTTATTCGGCCCTCAGCCTAACTCTAGGAAAAAAAAAGAAAAAAAGATGTCCTTTTGGATCTTAGTTGTATATTAAAAACAAACATTCTTATTAGGAAAAACTAAACATACAAGAATAATAACCTCGTATGGCCCATTAACTCACCACAGGGATTTGCTTTCTAACTTGCAGATATTTTTTTAAGAGTAGGCAGAAAGAGAAGAAGATACCTTACAGTGTAAAAAGAGGTTTTTACTTTATCAACAACTATGAAAGGGTGATAAATGACAAACAGAAAGAAAATGTCACTTAAAAAAGAAAAAAATGTGGCAGAGCACAGTCTCTAAGGGCATTCGGGCTTCAGGAGTTGCCCTTCCTGGGCTCTAGAATATAGGCTCAATAGCTGTGGCACATGGGCTTTGTTGCTCCGCAGCATGTGGGATCTTTCTGGACCAGGGATGGAACCCTTATCACTTGCATTGGCAGGCAGATTGTTAACCACTGGACCACCAGGGAAGTCCCCCAGTTCCTTATTAGAGGTCACATGTCTATGGGTCAGCTGAGGCTTGGCTGATCTTGGCTGGTTCCTGTGTAGGGTGGGCTGGGGGGAGTGGTACACCTCTTGTCTGGGTTTGACTGGAGCATCTCAGATGAAGCTCCACTTGGCTCACTCTTTTTTGGGGATATCAGAGGCTAGAGAGGGGGTTCACTTCTCATGGTGATGCTGAGAAAGAGAAAAAGGAAATAAGCAGGAGTACACAAGGTCCCTGGAAGGCTTAGAGCTGTTTTGTTTTCTACCTCATTCTGTTGGTCAAATCACCTCACATGGACAAACCCAGGTTCAAGGGAGGAATAAATACGAACAGGGTGAGAAAAAGGTGCCACTGGTACAACCTACCACTGAGTTCAAGAAACACAAGGAAAAGGTGAATCAGGAGAGGGAGGAGTTGCAGAAGCGAGAGTTTTAAAAAGTGAAGAATGGTTAATGCAGCCTGGAGATTCAGCAAGATGAAGACTGAAGTGTGTATCAAACATGGCAACTCAGGAATCAATAGGGACCTTCACAAAACAGCTTTAGAGGAAGGGGCAGGTGAAAAGGTGGCCGCCAAACTGTGGGGAGCAACGAAAGGGGGGATGAAACATGATCCATTAATCCAACAGATGAATTCAACTCTGTACCTATTACATGTCAGTCCTGTTCTAGGTGCTGGGGAGGCAGCCTTGAATACGGCTAAGGGTTCTTTTCTTGGAGTCCACATTCTAGTGGGAAAAGAAAAAGACAACTGATAAATAAGCAAGGTGAACCGAGATGGTGCCAAGGGCTGCAAGGAAGGAGATGGGGTTCAGGTAGTGGAGGGGTGGGCCTTTGGGAGTGGGGGTGCCAAGGATGCAAGAGGCTGGTCAGAGAAAATGCTTCTGGGGAGGTGATAGTTGAGTTGAGAAGAAGCTGATCTTACGTAAAGAAGGAAGAATAAGTGAAGAAAGCCAGTTTTGTGCCCTGAAATAGGAGGTTGGCAGCTGTTTCAGGAGACAAAAATAAGTCTATGTGGGGACTTCCCTGGTGGTCCAGTGGCCGAGATTCTGTGCCACCAATGCAGGGGCCCGGGCTCAGCCCCTGGTCAGGGAACTAGATCCCATGTGCTGCAACTAAGACCAGTGCAGCCAGATAGATACATACATACATACATTTAGGGCTGTGTGACTGAAGCTTAAGGAGGAAGGGAGAGGAAAGCAAAGGCCAGGAGGCAGAAAGGTGCTAGATAGGATAAGGGGCCTCAAGATCCACCCAGCCAGGGGGAGTGGGAGCCTGGAGCAGAAGAGTAAGGTCATCTGATCTGCATTTTAAAAGGGACTTTCCTCACAGTCCTGGAGGTTAAGACTTTGCACTTCCAATGCAGGGGATGCTGGTTCAATCCCTGGTTGGAGAGCTAGGATTCCACATGCCTCTTGACCAAAAGCCAAAATATAAGACAGAAGCAGCAATACCATAACAAATTCAAAAAAGACTTTTTAGAAGGT